TTTAGTATTTTAAGAAATTCTCTCATACTATTCCTCGCTCACCTACTTATTCTACCGCATTCACCGTTATAATTTCTCATCATTTGCAGCAAATAATTCCAATAAAGAGTTTATAAATTATCGAAAAATTAATTGCAAACATAATTTTGGCTGCACGCTGCGAGTATGTCGAATTAAAATTCCATACGATTTTTAATAATATACAAACTCATAATGCGAAATTCAGAAATTGACTCATCATATGTACCTACTCGACGTTTCCATTAAGTTTTTTTTTCAATACGGCAGTAAATTACTGAAGAAAACTAGGTAATTGGTATGATTTATCTGCATATGTGTGTACAGTAGCGTTTATGTACAGGTAGGTTCCGTATGGAAAGAGTACGCCGTTTTTTACGAACAGTTTCTCTAGCATTTCTATATACAGAATAATTAATCAAATCAGACGCATAATTCTCATAGCGAACTGACGTGTAGGTTGATTGGTTCATTGCAACGGTTCATAAAGTCTTTACCGTACAGTGATGTACCTACAATTCCACACTTGATCAATATTTTGGCCAAAAATTTCACGAAATATTCTAACAGGTGTGATTAGAATCAATTATTGAAGAGAAGCAGATCTGTAATAAAATTTATGGAGAATGCTCCAACGTTTTTCTGCGATTTGACCGGTATACCAGTGTACCAATATTTTTTTTAATGGTTGATAGCTAAACAAAATGATATATTACATTATACAAATAATCAGACAAATTATACAAGTACTCTGAATTATGAATGAATTACACTTGAACATGCAGTTCAATATAAACATATGAAATATATGAATGTATCACATGCAGAAATTATTAATCCGGTCAGAAATAATGTGTTAATTTCAATTATCATATCATGAGTTATTCACGTGTGTACTGAGAACTGGTTTTATTATTTTATATGGTAATAGTGATCAATATTAACATGTGCAATTTATTGAAATTATGATTACTTGATAATATACTTTGAACACCGATTTTAATTTTTTTTATTATTACATTATTAAAATTAAAATTTAATGGACGAATATTTTCGAATATCAATGTTCAACTAAAATTTGTACTAAATATTTTTTCTCACCTTCTTCTAACATAAAAGTACAGTAAGAGACCCGATGCCTAATCCAAACTTAATTAACTTGAAAATAATAATATTTATGATAGCCAATTTATTATTTCTCTACTGCTTTTAACACCTAAGACAAAGCGCCTTGGAAAGTTTTTGCATCGATCATTAGTCAATCCGAAGATTTCCCATATACAAAAATTAATTTAACAACATAAGAATAATTACAATTTTACGCCATGTGTTTAAACTTTTGAATTTATATTTATATTTAACGATCTACTGAAGCTTTCTTTCGATAGTTCGGTGTACAGTAATATTATGTTTGATTAAACGATTTCTATATAATCATAATTATATGTAATTGTTCATTTCACAGGTAACATCCGTTCGTTTAATTTCGTGTTCTATTTTTTGTGTTTGCTGTTATTTTAATATTTGAAATCATAGTGATTAGTAATGAATAGCGTTTTGATATAGTTAATTATATTTTGTTTTTTAATCAAATTGTTTGGAATCATTGAATTATTTGTGTAGTAAATGCAACTACATAATAAAGATTAAACATACTACTAGGTATATTTATATATATTTGCAAGTAAATTAATAGAACACTAGGTACATAGTAAATTATATAATAAATATTATAAATCTATAGTATTAAAATTGCAAACGTAGTCAAGTGATAATTTTTTTAGAACAGTTGTGGGTTTCAAATCCTGGATCCAAAATTGTAGGTGATTTTTTTTATTAAACATTATAAATAGCTTTTACAATAAACATTTAAAATTATTTGTTAAATGTATACATTTTGTGAAATAAGGATTTCTTATAGTTGGTCGTATTTGTTTTTTTAAATTATATAAAAATCTCTACAATTTACTCCATAATTATCTTTAGTAAGTAATATCGCCTTTAATGAGTCTATTTCAAGTAGTGTGTTTTGAAATGACAGTTTTTTCAGTTTAAATTTGTAAAAATGAATTCTACTTAAAATATATATTGAAAAAAAAGGACAAACCGGTTCATAAATTCGGGACTAATACTGTTTTTAAAAAATCTGGGACATAAGGTGGAATTCTGGAACTTTATGATCTAATCCTGAACGTATGATCATCTTAATATATTACGGCAATGATCTTCTTTTTTATTACACAGTCTATTATAAATATCAGTACCTTTAAATTATTAATTGTTTAAAAGAGCATTAATCTTACGAATAATATACCTTGAAAATTTTTGAGTTTGTGAAGAGAATTTGGGAACATTAAGCGATAGCTGGTTAAGAATTTGAGGACACTATTTGAGCTGTTATATTTCACCTAGACCTATTTATTATTTTCATATAATAAATTTTGAAATATCGATTTTAATCTAATGCTTTTCAGATTTATTATATCCGATAATTATTTATTAGATTAAATATATCTACATCTACGTGTGGTTTTCTCTTTTGTTGTTCAATAATCGTCACCTATATTGTAAACATATGAAAGCTCGATATTCTTTGTGTTACATAGAGAATTAGAGATGAACAAATGCAGATGCAAATGCATAGAGAATGTGTGTATGTATGTATGTATATCGAGTATCGCAGATCGGATTAATCCAATGCATCTACATACCGGTAAATTTCTATGTAATTTCACAATTTGCTACAGGATTTTTCCAGTGGTTGTCGTCCCGTAATTGCATTTGAAATTAAAATAACTGTTTCTAATATCGCAGCGATTCGATTATATGATAAATGAATCTAGCCAATAGAGCGAGATAGGACGGATCGCTCGGCTGTGTATTATACTATTATTCTCCTGGTACATTGTCTGATTTTCAGTTTTTCTATCGCCTTTGCTTAATTAATCGTACGTATTTTCTAATAATTTGTTTTATTATATGCACAGTAGATTGACTGTCTTGTCGTTGATCTTTTTTCATTTCGGTCGATGCGATCGCTTCATAATTAACTGGGATATGTTGATGTGTAGCACGTGCATGCTGATAAGTAAAAATAAACGGAATTGTGCACCAGGAACCAATAGAATGTAGCGTTACTTAATTATCACTTTTTATGTTTATTGCAAAACAAACATTATTAAGACGGAGTTCTATTGCGAATTATAACTTATAATTCAATATTTCTAATCACAAACAGAATGTGGAGAGAACACTAGGAGACCTCTCTAGATTTGAAAGCTGCTGTGCTTCTCCATTTATAGCACTGTATAGCTTGGGTTGGGGCAAATATTCTAGCTTAATTTGGATCATTCATTTTTCGATTTTCTCTTTTGAGCAATAAATTTTATAGCTCGAGTGGAACATATATATAAGATGTAATTATCAATAATTTTCAGATTAATTCAAGAATATATCAATTTGATTTTTAAGGTGCATAACAATCAATTACCCTTAATTTACCACATTTAAATCATATGACACAGCGTTAATCCATTGTTGACGATCACTGACAATAAATCCATTTTACATCTTGATACTTCTTGGGTTCACACGGCAATCTACTGCACTTCATTCGCACATTTGCGATTTGTTATTATATCAACGTTGCAACTGTGTACAATTTCTATATAATATACAGTCACATTGATCGATACCGAAGGAGTACAGTAGAGATTGTTGCCTGATATTGCAATTATTAAGATTAACTGTACTTTCATGTGTCAAACACCGTATTTTAGTTTATAATTAACGATATATTTTTCGTACCATTGTTGCCGGCCGTTACGGTGGAATAAATGATGCTGATCTTAATGTGTATTCAATAACGACCTGCAACTGGACTACATTACTTTTTTATTTATTGTTCACAGTTCTTTTTTTCGTTTTAATTAAAATAATATGACAATCGATTTGTATATCTATCTTTATTTAATATTTTATCTTTTCTTTCTGCTCTTTCACAAACTATTTTATTTTAATTAACTTACCTATGTTTTCTTATCATATTATAATTGCGAATTATCGGATGAATATAAATAAAGTAATCAAGCAAAAGTCTGTTTATTATTTTTTAGCCCTAACATTGAACTTCTGACTCACTGATTCATAAAAACTTTCAAAACACATCTTGGTAATATAGCCATACTAATTTATAATGCTGTCAAAATGGTGTGAGAGATTCGTGGCCTATAAACTGTGAAAAAATCGGTGATTATCAACATATCAAAAAAACTGATTTTTCAATAATAAATCATAATTATTATATTCCCGGTACCAACTACAAGGTAGTTAATGTCTATCTATGAGATATTAACAATTGACCTTGGCAAGATTCGTGTCTGTTTTAATTACACCTTTAAGAAGAAAACTGGTTTTGTACATTTGTACTTTATAGGTGAATTATACAATTCTATTAAGTAATCGATATAAAATATTTTGAAATAGTATCAGTTCAGGTAGGGACATATTAATTGCTCAAGAAGACGTAGTATGATATAATTTAAAAAACTTTTCTTAGTATTATGAAATTATTTCACTTGCTACAACGTTTAAGAAAATCTCACTAACCTTTTATAATATGCTGATCTTGATACTGTGTATAGGAATGATTTTAAACTACATTTTTGCACGTATTATATACAAATACAGTTTATTGTAATCGAACATCTTATATATCTATTTTTACGTTTTTTTTCATTTATTGATGAATTTATTTTTCCAGCCGCGAATGCCGATATCGCGCAGCATGTCCATGGAGCAGCGCTGGCAGGACTTTGCCAGTTCGTTCCTGGGCGGCCCAGCACCGCCGTCCTGCGCTCCAGCTCACCTTTCCGACCAGTCTGCCGGAGGATATCACCCGCACGGTCACTTGCAAGGTCAACATCACCCGCATCAGGCGACGCCTCACCATGCCGGAGCCTATTCAGCATTTTCAAGTCCGAATGCTAATGGAACGGCGAATAGCACAGGATATCATTTGCCGCCTGGTGGAGTACTGCTGCACAATGCCACGCTTGCACCTCCCATGGGGGATTTGAATCCTGGACCTGTCTCATATGGTAAATTAAAATTCTTATTACTTTAGATATTATGAAAATGCAATTATATTAATATTAGCAACAATAAGTGGTTTTAAACTTCGGTTTTTATGAATATAAAGTTGGCATGCAACCAATATTTAATGATATATATCATTTTGACAAAAGTACTTACAATCACAATATTAATTAGAAGAAAGAAATACTTATGATCATAATATTTGATATCGATTACCAGTTTTACTAAAAAATTATTGTTATAGGGCCTAATTTGGGATCTGCTGTAACTTCTTCGATGCATCTCACAAATGCAAGTGAAGCTGAAGCGATTGCTGGCAGTTATAAATCTGAGGGAGCTGACATGTTGTATTACCAGGTAAATATTTATATAAACTTTTACTAATAATTCACTATTATTTTCATTCATAATACATTTTAATGCAAAATGCACAAAATAGTTTGCAAAATGCAAAATGCACGAAATAGTTTAAAACTACACATTTGTAGTACAGTTGATAATTTTATGATACAATGATTTGCAATTTATTTTTAAGACACTAATGTGATCTTGATAGAATTTGCGTTATTGTTACACATGTTCACTAAGTTATTTAAATACTTGTCTTATTTTTAAGAATTCTTCTATCGACGGCCTGAACCAGACAACGGATGGGTTTTTAAATTCAATTTTGAACGATGAAGACTTGCAATTAATGGACATGGCAGTAAATGAAGGTAAAGAGGCAATATTCAGTTTATTTGCTTTGAAATATTTCAGCAGCAACTCGTGTTGCTTATGGCCAGGTGTAGTTTTTAATATATCTTTTATGATATGAAAAATTGGTTCGAATTCCAAATATGATTAGTCGTTGTAATGATTTATTCTACAATGCCTGATACGAGATTATTTAGCAATCAATTAATTAAAATTAAAAATGTAAGTTTACGTAAAATGCCTTCCAAATTTCACTTCGTTCAATTTTTATCCATATTTTCTCTAGAAATATTTGAGTACGTTTAAGATAATTTCCGGCATCGACATAAAATCATTACATATTATTTTTGAAAAATATAATATTTGATAATGTTTTAAAAATTATAATATGTATAATCAATTTGGACCGGGTTATGGAAAAATTTATGATTGTGATAACCCCTATTACCCGAGGCATGTTTGTTACGTCTCAGGTGGTTCTAGTAAGGATAGTAGCTTTTCTTTCATACGGCGAATTGTACAGGTGAAATCTCCTGGTCGACGTCATCGCTCCTTTTATCTATATTTACACCTGTGCGAGATATTTATAATAGAAATGATTTCACTACGAGTTCTGAATCCGTGCTGCCATCGAACGTTTCCAACTTGAAGCAAACTGATGATTCAAATCCAATATTTCAAATCATGTTGAATCGCCTTTGAATGAAATTTAATGTATCGAATATGTGAATTTGCATAAACCTGACTTGGTAATATAATGTTTGCACATTTATTATCAGGCAAAATTATGGTAATTCAGTGATCGCATTCGATGCAATGCTTAACCTAGTCTATTTATTTTGCCAGCGCGATGAGAATTGTGTGTAGGTGTCGCAATGTAACACGCGCGCTTCTCATATCATTGTATGAGGAGTTGTGTAATGAATGTTTACTATTTTTAATGCTGACTCATTAGATTTACTATAATCACTCGCTGCTCTTCGGCGTTAAATATACAATATCAATGCACAGTGTTTAACGCGTTTGCCTTCGTTAAAAACCGTACTTATTAAATAATAGCTAATATGTGCATTTGAATTGACAAAATCGGTTCAAACACCTGAAAAGTGTGCAGTTTTCAGTGATGTATTTTCTAGTCCGCAGGAAAACGAATTGTATGTTGTGCAACGATGTATTCGTTTGAGGGGTAAGTTATAACTGCAAAATTTATGCAAATTGTCTCTATTTTTAACGGCTTTTTGGATAAATGCTATTTATTTACATTTATTTAGTATTTCTAGTTGTATTATAACAGCGCGATGGATCACGGATCATATGTGCGTTAATTTTAGTCACGTGGCTACAAATTCACGTGATGAACGTTTATTTTAAATATATGAGCGGCACCATGATTATAATGTTATGACGAAATGCGTACCATCCGATTGAATAAATAAATAGACATCATAAAATTAAATAGCAAACTATGTTTAATTTTGTACATAATTGTTAATTAAAAATGTATTTTTATGAAATTGTAGGATTTCGTTACTTACTGTTTATCTTAAAAATTAGCATTATGTCTTGTTGTGAGCGAACCAGATATGTTATTTATGTACGTCGAAAAGAGTGCCAATACTATTTGCAATGCACTTATGTAATACACTTCAACAATGTATATGACGCTTTCTTAAAAAATGTAGAGTATATCAGATACAAATATATCGAATGTTATGCAAATAATTTTAAGTAGGGTATTTAGAAATTTTCAAAAAAAATTAAATTAATTTTTTGAATATTCCCATGGGATACCATGGAAATTATTTATCATGGAAATACCTGTTCAAATATCTTGGAATAATTATCCATAGAGAACTAAACTAGAGTCTGTATCAGTTACCAAGATGGGTACCCTCATTGCAGCATATTTCATAGACAATATATTTTTAATCGTTTTAATCTGTAGTACTAGTGGCATGTTTGTTATTAATTATTGGAAAATAACTAGGAGTATTATATATTTCAATCAATGTGTTGTTATCGACGCACTTTGCACTGTCATAGTACGTTAGGCAATCATACGTTAATATATTTATGATCTTCGATAATACGCGTAGGCACTTTGTACCTGACATACTCACAAAATTTAAGTTGAAATGAAAAATACAGTCAAAAATTAATATGGTGAGTACTGAGAATCAATTAGCACAAGATTCATTTAAAAATTTCTTACGCTTTTTTGTTACTTTTGTCCTGGAAAATTTTTCAAATCGTTTGTTTTATTGAACTTGTACGATAAGTTTTATAACGACTATTCAGTACAACAATGTATTAAAAATTCAAATTAAAAGATGGTAATAAGGACGTCAAAACTAGTTATTGTTTACTTATAAATATATGTTTAAAAATAGCCTCAAATTTCTTGATATAATTATTTTATTTATCCTCTTGAAAAATTGCTAGTTGATACTGCTGATTCCTCTATTTATTTTTTATTGGTTTTGTAAAGTTGCTATATTTAGAAAATATTTTTGTTATTCAAACTACAGTGTTCTAATTCTATTAAATGATAAACATCTTAGTCGAATTAAAAACGAATTTTGGATTATGAACTTTTATATTCTTTAACAGCGCAGTTTGTGCTAGGTCAAGGTGGTGTTTATTTTATATCTGTATTTAATTTTAGATCAATTAGCATATTTATAAAATACTATTATATTGTTGAGAATAATTAACGTATAATAATTAATATATACATTTTTAACATATCATGAAATGAAAATTGATCATCTTGTGAGTCTATGAGCTGAGTTTAAGAACTAATATTAGTATTCTGTTTTTGTTTAAACTTTTTTCATTTTGGAATATGAAATCAGCACTGATTTTGAATATTCATAGTATTTTCCATTTATGAGCAACATTGTACCACAAATATAGAGTATGAGATGAATAAGATTGGAGGTTTTTAAGGAATTTTATGGTAACAATTGTGAGGCTTCACAAATATTACGGTTTATGACGTTTTTTGTAATTTTCTGTTAATCTCACAATCATAATAATATGCATTTCATATCTTACATATATAATAATTTCCGTTTTAAGATTTTCTCTATTTGCATTGGTATTAAATGTATGCGGTTAATATCCAAATACAGCAAAGAAGACTTTGATAAATTATCAAATATTGACACTGTATAAAGGCAAGCCCCAAGAAATTGTCTTATCACATGATAATACGTGCAAGATTGTTGCGCAGTTTTATATATGTATGCAACATTTTTTGCAGTGACGTTCATGATAATAATAATTATAATAGTATAATTATTGATTCTATAGGCTTATTCCTAAACTTTGGAAAAATCAAATAAAAAAAATATAAAGGCTAATCAAAAACAACTCAACTTCGAAAGTCTATTGACTTGCAATAAGAGTTAGTACAAATTTGTTAGAGCAATCGAAATGAAGCAATTCAATTTTTTTTTATTAATTTAATATTTCGTAACATTGAACCGATATAAATGATTCCTGGAAGAACTCATGATATGTGTGAACACCATAAAAATAAAGATTTGATAAGATCATCGATTAAACAACATTACATATGTAATCAATTTTATCTAGTAAACATTTACAATTATTACATTTTCTATATTCATTGTTCAAATTTTTACGACCTATCACTATAATGATTTTTTTTCTGTAGTATATTTTTCTACGTGCATGTGTTCCATCTAACGTTATGGCTATTTGTTGATCTTGTTTAATATTATGTCTCGTTTACATTGAGTCATTTCTGTGACGTCTACAAATCATTGAATCACAATCATTAAAAGTCTATCATAAATCATTACACGAAATGCATTAAAATTAATGACTATAAAAATAATTTTGCCATAAAAAATCAACCTAGCTTTTTATCTTCATCAACGTACGATTCTTGAAAACGATAATTTACTGATAATTAAATCGAAAATTGTCATATGGTTGCCAGTCGAAATTATCTCGCACAAATTTAAAGATAAATCCAATATTTTCTACATTCTAGAAATTTTGCAAATTTTTTTTATCTTTTTTCGAGCGATTTAATTAAATTCTCATATATCGTTGTTTTGTTAATAAATATCATCTGTGAATGGAAAAATTTCAATACAAATTTGTTTCAGAGATAAGTTTATTTTATTAGTGTCAAAGTTAATGATGTTATACATGCAGCGATAGTGCCACTTGGAATTATAATTATAATACATACCACGAATGATTTGCTAGTATTTGTATTCAAATTATATTTCCATGACTCTGTTTGAAAATTCAGCTTGTTTAATTAAATTTTAATAGAAAGCGAATTTTGAACTCAAATCTCTAATTTTGAACTTCTCAGTTTTGCCACTGATGGTCTGATTTAAAATATTTAAAATATAACTCCCATCTGCATTTGAAATAAAATGTCGAAATAATTAGTTTGTCTACTAAATGTTTATAGAAACTAATTTAAATTAAAAGTCGTTGTAGAGGTTCCACACCTTAGTAATACTTTACTCATATGTCTTGGAGAGCTTTTCCAGAAATATTTCTTATTGTCAAATTCACAATTTTGCTTTGAAACGCTTTTATTAATATTTTGATTTAATTTGGTTTCGTTGATTAGGCGGTTAAAAATCAATATTTAACACTTCAATAATAATTTTATCAGATACCAGTATTTTAGATTCACTTTTTTGTTCTATGTAAAAAGTCATAGCACCTTTAGTCTATATTGGAGCTAATTTGCTCCATGTGTTTTTATTAGTTTAATTTATTTAAATCATGGGCTTGAGTATAATTTTGAAGTTCTTGAAGAACTTTACTCGTAGTACGACATCTTTCATTCAGCTACGATATTTCAAAAGTCTATGACTTTTATTATTATGTACTCAAGTTCACAAGTCACTTCATTTATCAATAATCGTTTGTAACATAGTTGTAATAGATATTATTCAAAAATAGTTCAATATGTTTTCAAAACCAAACACTTCTGATTTCATCCTTGCATATCATCGTTGGC